CATTCTGCCCATATTGTGAATTGTGAACACTTGCTCTACACTGTCATTTGACGTACATCCTTCTGAACTAGAGAGTAACCGTGTATGGGATAATGGTGACCGTATAAGTGTTCAAAGAAGTAGAGATGAACCTCATCAGGATTGGTTCTGAATTATAGGGAGTCTGAAAGCCCTGCTAGTTGATTCTGACAGGATTTATAGAGAAAAGAGAGCTGTATGAGGGTGCAGTACGTTGTTCCACCCAATCAAATCACAGATATAGAGTTTTGTCGGATAGCGAGTGGAGTATGAAAGGGATTTGTCTGCACTAGCGCCACAGTGGTAGTGGCGTTGAACAGGTTCACAGACACAGGCGGCTATAGCATCGCTGTTCAGAGCGTACAAAACTACTGAACACATGAAAACTAGTTCTGACGAGCGACATGTTTCACAAATTGGTAGAATTTGTTGCTACGATCTCCGATAGGTTTTTATGACTGTTTCACAAAACGAATTTAATAGTGGGTTTAAAGTCGATTCCAGCCACAAGTGCAAAAGAAAGATAATATTAAAATTGATCTAAAAGAAAATATAAGAGTGTTTGATCCAGATTAATCTGACTTAGGAGAGAATACTGTACGTCTAGTGGACCATCGGATGCTGTAAATGTCGGTGTATTTCCTGATCAGCTGAAGACTGTCAGCTTCTAGAGTAAAACTTTGTTACATCCTAATTAATGAGTTTAAAGTCGCCTCATATTAATTATGTATTAATGACTGTCGACACATTAAACGTGTGAAACTAAGGCTTTATATAATTGGAAAAGTGTTCACCAATTTGTATGTCACGTGTTTTCAGAACTAAGCAAAATTTATTTCTTGAATGAAAGGTGAAACTTCAACTAAGGCTTTCATATTAAAAATCTATTAAATTGTTGTGACAGTGCAGTTTTATCTCTCTTTTACCTTACGCTTTTAGAAGAATAAGAAGCAGAGTCATTAGCAATAAGCAACACAAGTTAGTTGCTATACTTACACTTGTACGGCTTAAAAAAGATCTCACTAATTTAGAATGGCGTTTGTCCACGCCCTGTCTCTTCCGTCGCAGAGTCACTGAAATCAAAGGACTGGCTCGCCCTTTAATTGGGAAGTATGTTTATTTTCTTGAACAGCGATGTCGGTTATCTTACTACAAGTTACGCAGTTTCTTCCACTATTTCGGACAGTTTTATGAAGCCCAGCTTCAAGCTCCTTACCATCGCGTAAAGAGTTTTATAGGATTGCATGTGAAGATAATATTAAAATGACTCTTCCTGAATAGTGTGTGAAGTGTTGGTTGCATTAAACGCGCTCTATATAAATTTCAACGACGTAATTTTTCGAACACCGTATAAAACTTTGAGCTTAATAAAAACAAGACATTTGAATAATTGAACGACTATCGAATTTAAAAGAATTCTGTGCTCCACGGAATTTATATCTTAGATATATATTGAGAAGAAGACATTTAAAGAAAATGTCATTATTTGTCTAAAGATCTGATTGCGTTGTGGTCTTATTTGTCTTTAGCGTACAAAGAACGTTTCATTCTGGCTAGTTCGGTAGTAATGTTTCTCAGATAACATCTATTCATATGCAAACCATCACTTCAGAAACTTGACCGTTTCGTTAACTGAATCGAAGTATGGAAATTTCTGGAGAGAACTGTTAGAATAGTGTTCGGTCTTGTAGCACAAAGTCTGTGTTTTCGTGAACGTCACCCGCAAAAGATTTCGTGATGGAACACTACGATTCATCAGCCCATTTAGGTCAAGGCAACGAATTTCTCATCTCTGGCATACGACGCTGAAATGTTGCATCCATTATAATTAATTTCGCGGAACCAGAACAGCGACAAGCTGATTTCAAGTTGTCTGTTTGAAGACACTATCCCAGCATTTGGCTACAGACGATAATGTTGTTCATGAACAAACTTGGCGTGAGGTACATCGGAGATCGAGTATAGTTGCCCATTGGTTTGTTATGAAATTAATATAACGACATCGATTTTAGTGGGGTTTCTTCACACACTGATGTCGGGATACTGACTTCATAGACATGCTTGTTTCCTGCCAAATCATTCCCTATTTATCGCCAACATATCAGTCTGGGTTGTTGCCCTATGTTACCTGGTAGATGTTTACTGGCGTTTCAGAACGCATGCCGCCTCCAACATCAGGGCACTGTAAACGTCTACTAGATTAGACGGCGTAACAAACCAGAAGAAATTAATGTCTTTAACGTCACACTGGGGTTTTTATGGAGAATAAAATGAATACTATAAGATTTAAAGCTGGGCAATCTCGATATACTTAGTGTGCTTGAGTCACAACAGAATCTACACTGTCTTCTAAAGCAAAATCTTTCACCTCTTGGCTCTTAATGTTATTAGGCAAGTCCTAGAGCTGCTATGCCCTTTTACCCAGTGTTCCATTTGCTACAGGTTTTTAATTTGCTGCCAATAATTCTGGATCGTGCAGAATCACTGATTTAACTCTTAAGGGAAACAGGGCACTTTAAAATTCTCAGAACATTTTTAACTTTTAGAATTTTTATTCAGTTGAGAGGGAAAATGTGGAAAACTCCAATAAAACCCTAAAGGATCAGAATGTTATTTAGAATGTTGTTCTATTTTAAATTAGTTTAAGCGGAAACCATTTGGAATTTGTATAGAAACTTTTTTTTTACCTAAAGTTACTGAAGTTAACCCATTTATCGTAGTAGGTCCAGCCGTCCAGCCATGTTCTGGGTCAGAGTAGAAACTTCAGCCTGATTACAAATGTTATAACGTGCTGCATGGTTGGGCGTACCGTACGTAACAGATAATTCTGGAGCGACAGTGAAGTAACGATCAGGAGGAGAAATCGAAGTACTCCGTCACTTCGTCACAAATCCCACATGTATTGACCTGTGTTCGAAATCTCGCCTCCGCGATGACAAACTGAGTTTAAAGATCGTGGGAGTTTGTACAGCCCAAAATTTGTGATGTTGTCAGTGCTGTTGAAGGAAATAATGTCCTGACGAATTAAAAAAACCGCTGCTGACCCGTATCTTAATATAATCTATGGACCAATTATTCAAGCATTTTTAGTTTCATTTTCATCTGTAACACCCCTCCCCGTTGAAATTAGACCTGATTCACATGAAAATTTAAAACAATTAAGTTTAACATTACTGGTTAGTCTTTTATTGTATTCGTATGCATTCTATTTTTGTTGTTGTAACTTTGATTTTACTCTTACTACAAAATGTCTACGTTCTTATATCCAAGAAACTTGAATGATTAGGCAGTAACAGTTAAATCTGACTTGCACGTCCATGCGTGATATGATCATAGACTACTCTGGTTGCTGAGTGACGTCGTTTCCTAGGAAACAGAACTGCTGCTTGTCTTAAGCAGCTCACCTATTTTAGT